TGTCCTGGCAGGCTTATGGAGAACTCATGAACAAACAGGGCTGGCTACCAGCTCGGATTGCAGGAAGTGCAAGCTGGTAAACAAACCCAGTGCCTCTGGGCAACAGCCAGGCTGCCAGCACTGGCTCCCTCAAGACCTTTGGAAAATCAGCATTTTGTCTGCTTTGTAAGAATGTGATGTTAAAGGGGCTGGAAAGATGGCTCAGCACACCGTTGAGGACTCCAGCTCCAGATGATCTGAAACCCTGGGCACCCAGAGTACATGTGCCCACACTCACGCATTGATACATATGCATGAGCAAAAAATAAAACAAATCTGTATTTTAAAAAGGAGTTGGCTGTTAGGGGGCAGCCCAGACTGCTGCTCAGGCCTCTTTCTGGCAGCAGCCCTTCCCTCTCACATAGGCCAGCTCTGGCTAACAGCCTTCCAGATACCCATTTTGCACCTGGTGAGCTGAGTTTATATCCAAGGAGGTGTTGTTGATCACTCATCCGGCTCTCTACCCCTTTCCTGGCTCCTGCATGGGAACTTGCAGTAAACTTGAGAGTCTTGTAGTTAAACCACTTCCACCTTCAAAACACAAGAGAAGAGACCCCCCATCCCCACTTCTGCTATGCAGACCCTGATTCCTGTCTTCAGAGCCCCCATCCTGATGTGCTGTTGTCTGTCTGACCATGGCATGAATTAACTCTTCTAGTAACCTTTGACTTCAGCAATCCATCGCAGTGTCCTTGAATCTATCTCTAGGTGACCTCTTGGCCACTCTGGATTTATTTATAGGCCCAGGCGGGTATTTAGCAAAGGAGAGGACAGCAGCGCAGAAGGGTCAGAATACAGGCCTGCACTTCTCCAGGAGCTCGAGGTCCACAGGAGTCTATTTCTGGCGCATTCACAGTAGAAATCCAGTCTTCTTTCACAGTGCATTTAAACGTGTGCTCGACACTTGGACGGCCACACAGTGTTTGGTGGAAGCCCTGCGGCGAGGGGTGAATGAGTAGAGACCATGTATTGAACACAAACTTACAAGCCTGCCTTGAAAAGGATGCCACACAAATCACAAGTCTCAAAACCCGTCCGAGAAGCCCAGGCCTCATGGATGTCAACTCTCATCACCTCTGGGCCCTGTTCCCCGCCTTTCCTCATCCCCTGACAGCCACACATGTCTCATTCATTCATTCAACAATATCGTGTAGTCTAGGCTAGCCTCAATTTCAGCATATGGTAGAGGATAACCTTGTACTTTGTGATCCTCCTGTCTCCACTCCCCAACCTCTCCCCCACTGCTGGGGCTGGAATCCAGGGCTTCCCACACTCTCAACCTCTCAGATGGTTTTAGTTTCTTACCCCCTGTTGTCACCCCCAGCAATGCTGAGGATAGAACCCCGAGTCTCATGAATGTTAGACAAGTGTTCCACGCTTGATCACTTTCCTAATTAATCCTTTGCTTTCAATGGCCTTCTCACTCAGCAACAGATGAGTCAGGATCCATGGCATATTCTGATTGGGCAAAGACCCAGGCTGCATGGATTAAAATTTACCCATCTTTTTTTTACTTCCTGAGTCTAAAGCCACCTCATCCAGCTGCTCCCGGGTTTAAACATCCTTCTAGAGGGCCTGGCGAGTTGGCTCAGAGGTTATAAGAGCATTTGTTCTCTCAGAGAACAAGGTAGAGCACAGTCTCCCATAATCCCAGTTCCAAGAGTTCTGACGCCCTCTTCTGGCCCCTGCGGGCACCAGGGATGTGTGTGATGTATGGTACACATATTTATATGCAGGTAGCACACACACACACACACACACACACACACCTGAAAAAAAAAAAGCAGCAGTAGCTCTCACATGGCATGAGAGAATCTGGTGTTTGAATGAGAATGACACCCCCTCCCCCCCCAGGCTCATATGTTTAAATGCTTGGTCCCCAATTAGTGATGATTATGGGCTAACCCTCTGAAACTGTAAGCAAGCTACAAATTAAACAAATGCTTTCTTTTATAAGTTGCCATAGTCACGGTGTATCTTCCCAGTGACAGAAGAGTACCGAGGGCACCTGGTCCTCCGGAGCATGAGCTGTGAGCCTGGGACCTAAGGAGTTTCTCCCTTCCAGGTCAGAAGGAGTTTCCTAACTCACTGTGCAGACAGCCATGTAGGTGGATATGGGGTTAGCAATGACAAAGGAGCCTTGAGTGGAAGTTGGGAGACCCTAAGGGTGTTGCCGGTGTGTAGAGAAGGCCAATGGAAATTCATTTTTTTAAAAAAAGATTTCATTTTAACTGGGAATGATGGTGGCTCAGCCCTTTAATCACAGCACTCAAAAGGCAGAGGCAGGCAGATGTCTGAGTTCAAGGCCAGCCTGATCTACAGAGTGTAGCCAGGCGACTGACGTTACAGGCAGTTGTGAGCTCTCAGACATGTGTTGGGGACTGAACTTGGGTCCTGTAGAAGTTCAGCAAACACTCTTAACTCAATAATTCGTTTTTTTTTCCAAACATGTATTCTATTCTGTTCTATTCTTATGTGTGTGCCTGCATGCTATGTGCAAGGCACATGTGTGGAGGTCAAAGGACAACTTGCAGAAGTTAGCTCTTCTCTTCCACCACGTGTCAGAGTTGACAGCATGTGTCTTAGCCCACAGAGTCATCTCATTACCCTCCCCCTTCTTCTGAGATGCTGAGGACAGAACCTGAGTCTCACACATGCTAGGGGAGCCCTCCACCCTTTAGTTCTTCCCAAGACTCCAATAGGAACACTCTTGTGTCTAACATGCATTTGTCATTGCTGCAAAGCAGTTGTGTTTTAAGTAGCAGAGTACTTGTTTTTTTTTTTTTCCTTGTTTTCTGAGACAAGGCTTCTCTGTGTAGCCCTGGATGTCCTGGAACTCACTCTGCAGAGCAGGCTGGCCTCGGACTCACAGAGAGCTATCTGCCTTTCTCTGCCTCCCAAGTGCCAAGATTAAAGGCATGTGCCGCCACCACCCAGCATTTTTTTTTTTTGCGTTTTTATTTTATGTGTGTGGTGATTTATTTACCTGCATGTGTTTGTACATCATTTGTTTGCAGAGCCCACCAACACCAGAAGAGGGCATCAGCTGCCCTGGGACTAAAGTTAGTTGGTTGTGAGCACTCATGTAGGTGCTGGTAATCAACCAGGGTCCTCTGGAAGAGCAGTCAGTGTTCTTAACCACTGAGCCATCTCTCCAGCCCCGTCATTCTGTCATTTTTACCAAATTGTGGCAATTATATAATTGAGAACAATTGAGCAAATAATATAAAACGATCACTTCCTGGGCTTTGGGCCAACATCATGTATAAAGTAAAAAGAAACTCAGTAGTTTCCAAGTGCAGCACACTACCACACACACGTGTGCGAGGGTCAGCTCCCCTGAATCCTAGTTATTTTCTATCACTGTGCTCACCAAACCACCCCTCACTTTCTTCTCCCAGTCCCTGGCGACCACCATCCTACTTCTGTCTCCATAATTTTAACTATTCTAAATACCAAATGTGATCCAGATATAGCAGCTTGTGCCTGTATTCCCAGGTAGTTAGGAGGCTGAGACGAGGAGGATTGTGGGATTGAGGCTAACCTAGAGTCTATAGCTAAACCTTGTCTCAAAAGAGGAAATGATTATACAACCTGCTATTCATCTCCATCACTGTGAGGACACACGTGACATGGACAACTTATTTGACTCATGATTTCATAGGTTTCAGTCTGAGATCATATGGCTCTGTTGCTCTTGGGCCTGTGGAGCAAGGCATCATGGGGGAGTGGATGGCAAAGCCTCGTTCTATGACCAGGGAAGTAAAGAAAAATGGAAAGGACCTCCCTGTCTCTGTACTCCCTTCAAGGTCATGTTCCCAGAGACAGTTTTCTCCCCCTTGGCTGACCACCTCCCAGTAGGGCCACATGATGGTAACTGAGTGAACTCTCCCATGGACTAGGTGTGACAGTCACTGTCAACCCAGAACTGAGGAAGAAGCAGGAGACTGGGCTCAAAGTCGTTTTGAACTCTACAGAGTTCCAGGTCAGCTAGACTCCATGGGACCCAACCTCAGAGGGAAAGTGTTACAGAGGGAATCCTAACATACAATAAGCCTCCAGGGTACCGTGCTAAGTGACAAGGAGCCAGTCACAGTTGGTGCATGGTACCACTTACATGATGATGTCACATATCTATGCCCTATTTCCCAGGAGTTAAAGGCCGTGCTAGGAATTGAACCCAAGGGCTTTGTGCATGCATTCTGCCCACAGAGCCATGGTGCCCAGCCCAGCGCAGTTTCGTTATCTGTATGTTACCTGTGGTTCACCACAACCCGGAAATATTAAAGGAAACATTCTGGAAACAACTCACTTTGTCGCTATAGTATGAAATCATCTCAAGGAACCTGGTGGCTGTGGTATAAAGTTTGGAGTTATAATAAACTAAAGGTGTGTATTCAACTGTGCACATGTGGAGGTCAGCACACAACCATACTGAGGATTACAGGCAAACCAAGTTCATCTTTTTAAGGTCTTGGGGGGGACTGACCTCAGATGACCTAACATCCCCATCCCCCAAACTTGCTATGTATTGGGAGGCTAACCTTGGACTTCCGATCCTCCCCAGTGCTGGGATCATATGCATATGTCACACTTATTTCTATTGGTTCTTTGGGTTTCCACGGAGAGGTTGGGTGCGTAGAGTACCTTCGCAGTATGTGTGGTCAGTGTACTACCTACTACAGGAAGGAATGATGCACTCCCTCAGAGCCATCCTCCCTGTGCCCTACCTTTGATGTGGTACTTTACTGGATTTCAGGTTACCTTCTCATCCCTGACCCTGAATGGCAGGGGCTAACCCTGAAGATCAAAGACACTCACTCTAAGGTGCAGCCAGTGGTATGTCCTGAATGTCTGCAGGCTCCTCTGGAACTCAGGCCTGTTGTTGAGCATACTGCTGTAGGCAAGCAATGGGGGTTTCGAGGTCTCCTACCCACCCAGTACAACAGAACCTCACAGTAGCCAGCACAGAAAACATTGCTTTATTAACTGAATTTGCCAACACACGAGGAGTGCTGTGGGCTCCTTAGACACGGACCCTGGTGGGGGCCGCAGTCTGGATGCCCCAGTGAGTGAGTAGGACAGGATGGGGCCGGAAACTATGCAGCAGCAGCAGCAGCAACACAACCATGCAGGGCACAGGGGGGCACTGGCCACACAGGGGTGACCGAACATTCTATTGCTCATTAAGGGTCGCGAACAAGGACAATGTACAAAAAGGAGAAATAGGTCTTTGCGGTAATGAAAAATACATTTTTTTCTCTACAAAGAAATCTTCTCTAATACAAGAAAATAAATATTGCAACATAAGCCAAAAATAATTTAAAATTGCTCTTTTCAATATAGTTTTCAATATTTCTCTTGTATATTAACAAATGGCACATCACTTTCTTTGAAACAAAGACAGAAGGTGTCTCCTCCTGTGACATTCATATCACCCTCCTCACCGCCACCCCCAAATGATTCAGATGGAGCGCAGGTGTGCATCCTTGGGAGAAGGTGGCAGGAAGCGGCTTAAAGAACGACCAAAGGTCCCCGACTCCAACATCTCTGGCTCTTCGGCCAATGTGGCCAGCTGGGCCAAGGGCACGTGAGAGTAGCCTTCTCAAGGACCTTACTACAGAGATCACATATTGTTACGCAGAGCTTCAGGTATGGGCACAGGTTGACCTTATGTGGCAATGGTGAGGAAACCCAAAGTTTAACCTGCTGCCAATATTCCTGTAGAATCAGGCAGTTGAATCTCTAGAAATCCCAGCAAGTCTCATAGGGTATCCATGCATTGCACATAGATCTGCACAACACTCTGCCACACACGCACACACACACACACACACACACACACACACACACACAAACGCAGTCCAACACCTATGCCCGGGAACCTGGGTGGCTGGCTTCTCCAACAAACCTGCCCTTACATTGCAAAGACTTCACTGTCACGCCTTTCACAAAGTCAGAGCCCATTTAATAAAGTAAACGAGCATCCTATCTTTCTTTACTTGTTTCAAAATACACTTATGATACAGAAAAATACTTTCCTTGCACATTAGCCTGTGTCCTGTGATGAGGAAATGAGGTGGAAGGGGGTACATTAGCCAGAACGAGTCACAGAGTCCATTCTCCCTCCCTAAGGAGGGGTTGTGAATGAGGGCAAGAGTGGGCACTGCCTCTGGCCTGGAAGGGTGCCTTGGTCATAGTGTGGCAAAGTTATCTACACCACAGACAGTGTTGGCCTGGGAGGAACTAGGGAGAAGTTATGGGGCATCCTCATCCTCCCCACAGCCCGATGGACATCTTAGGAGTGGAGACAGCTGCTGGATGAAGACTGTCGTGGGGCTTGGCCTAGTGAAGGGGTCTGCTAACCAGCCATTATCACAGACAACAACTGGGCTTCTATGGCACAGAGCCTGGTGGGACAGAGTGGTCAGTGACATTCTCTTCCTCCCCCTGTAGCATTTGGTTGTTCTTTAAGCCCCCATACCCTTCGTGTCCCGCAGGTCAGACCACCAGGCAGTCCAGCAGATGAAATTGCGACCTGAAGTGACCCAAAGCACAGGGGTAAGGAAGGTCTGTTCAAAGGCAGTAAACAAGAGACGGGTGGGGAAGCCGACGCTGACACTGAGCTGTCACTATTACCAAGACAGGCAGGCAGACTAAGTCTATGTGGTAGCCGGTGCCATCCAGACGCCCAGGATCCTTGGAGCCCACCCCATGCCCTCGGAGTCCATTTGGATAAGACATGTTTGTCCAATCCCCAAACTGAAGTCATTATCTTTGTTTCTGATTTTGCTCAAACTCACTGTCGTACCTTGATAGTTTTGGAGTCGAGGTGGGTGAAGGTCCCGTGTATTTGCTCTTTGTGTATCTATGTGGTGGCAATGGGGGAACCACGCTGGATTCAGTCAGGATTCTCCCCCCCTCAAAAGGGGGAGGGAGTCCTCAAAGTTTAGGACCACACTCACAGCGGCTCAGCCCAGGGACCGTAAACCAACAACAGCAGCAGCAGTAGTGGCGGTGGCAGCAGCGGCGGTGGCAGCGGCAGCAGCCTCCTCCGAGGCCTTGGGCCCTTCTCTGTAGGTGTGTGCAATAACCGAGTCTCTGAACTTTGTTGCTAACCAATTCCTTTGAAAAGGAAGTTCAAGTCGACAGTTGTCAGGTCCGGGCTGTGCTGTGTATTATGGTCAAAAGATTCTTTGGCATTCTCAGAATGATTCGACTGGTTCACTGGACTTTTGCAAGGTTCTGGTTGGAGAAGTTCTGGCTTTACCAGTGGTGGAAGTGACCCAAGAGTAATTCATAAAAGAAAAAAAAAAACACATGTCTTCACGGAATTCCTTTGTTCCCTGAGCTATCTATCACCCTGGGGCCACTCCATCAAAACTCTTCAGAACTACCTGGGGGCTTGGAAGAGGGGGGATTTGAAGAGGAGTAGGAAAAGGGGGTTCAGTAGGGAGGAAAAGGGATTAAGGCGCTAAGGGACAGAGGAATACAGGAAGATCCAGCAACAATTCAACCAGTCCCAACAGGCCAGCACTGGCCTGCCCTGGGCCCCGGGATCCCACTACACTTGTTGGAAGGATGTTTCCAGAAGGAAACCAATGAGGAAGCTCATCTCTTAGCAGGACTAGGAAACTTCAAAAGGCAAACGGTCTGGTCTGGCCAGCTCCAGGTGGAGACAGCAAGACTGTGGCCGAGACTGGCCCCAAAGGAAGAAAGAAAGTTAAAGCCCCAGAGTGATTCTCTGCAGTGGGCTGATCTGAGCCCCAAGTCCCGGGCTGGGCACTGGCCCTCCCTCGGAACCCTCCACCTGTACAGGTGGAGGACTGTTTGGGGAGTCCCCTGAGTAAAGAACACAGCTCAGGAAGGATTCCGGGAACCCTTTCCCAGAGCTGCTTGGGCTGGGCACTGGCAGGGACAGAGCAGCAAGGGAGGGGGGGTTGCGGGTAGGCGGGCGGGCCTCAGATGTGGTGGGCTGTTCAGGAGCCAGCGGGCCCCCTGCACCCCCTCAGTGCTTTCTCATAGAAACTCTTTGTGCTTGTGACAGTGAATAGACTGGCTGGGTATCACTTGTTATACTTCCTTAGGGATCAGTGGAGTGCAGCAGGACACCCCCCACCCACCCAAAAATGGACCCAAGTGCAATCTGGGGGGGGACAAGGTGGGGCAGGCCCTGGAACGGCCCATCTGCCATGAAATAATGCCCAAACGACAGTCTGTGTCACCCAATGGCAGTGGGCATGAGCCCTGAGCTCTCTCTCTCGTCTACATCAAGCCAGAAGCCCGGCGATGTCACATGGGCTGGGACAGGGGTGGCACGTAGAACCTGGCATAGTCCCCACGGCCAAGGCCATGGGAGGAATCCTAACGTCCTAGGCCAGCACAGAGGAAAGACAACGGAGTGGAATTCAGAACTCTCTCTATATTAAAAATAAAACCACGACAGAGTGGTGGGTCTGAGACACTCAGCAGTTGGAAATGGCAGTTGTGATCAGGCTGAGGCCTTGTAGGGGACCAGGGCGGGGCCTGGGTGAGTTAGGAGGCCAGCACCCCCATGCGAACCACCTCCTCTGCTGCTGCCTCCCTGGAAGCCCGTTGTACCCCACTGTCCTCCGCCTCTCCATCAGACTCACTCATCTCCTCATCAGAGAAGTAGCCGTCAGCCTCGGTGTCGAAATGCAGGCTGACCTTCGGCCGCTCGGACACAGCAGACGGTAGTCCTGTCCCAGCATCGGACCTAGCACCCGGAGATTTCCGACTGACCTTCATCTCTCGGGGTGGCCGGAGCCTGCCCAAGGGTTTGGGGCTCACTGTAGGGCCAGGCACTTGGACATTCAAGTCTGAAGCCATGGGGGCCGTCTCATCCGGGATCTCGGAGGCCAGTGTTGGAGGGCTTTCCAGTGCTGCTGGCACTGGACAGTCCCCAGCTGCAGGGCTGGACGGCAAATGAGAAGACGTCCTCCGTGGCGGCTTCCTCGCGGGCGGTCCTTGTGTGCCCTTGCCATCCTGGGCCCAGGCCTTCTTGGGCGGCTTGTCTGGAGTGGTCCGTGCACTGGGCCCATCCTGCAGCGGGGGTGGTTTCTTCTTGGCAGGCAGGCGAGTGCGGCCTCGGGCCTTCCTGGCAGGGTCACCAGGTCGTAACGAGGGGTCCCTCATGAAGCTGAGCAGCGTCTCCTCATCCTGTAGCAATTCCTCTGACAGAAGACCTGGAGCAGGATCCTCCCGGTGCCCGCTGTTCAAAGACCACTCGCTCATGGCCATGTCCTCTGCTGTGATCTGAACCGACTGTGCCAGCCAGCTGTTGAAGAAAGTGCCGTCGATGGGGAACGAGGTGGACAGGCCTGATGAATGGGAGAAAGGAGGCAGGTGAGATGTCACAGGTGTGTGAGTTCAGGACAACCAACCCACCCAGGCAAGCCATCCTGTTCTGTCCACGCATCCCACTAATGCCACCGAAGAGTTGGGGGCAGACCCTGCTCACCAGGTTGACTGACCCCAGGACCAGCTTTTTAAATTGTGGAGCGAATGGAAAGGAAGGAAGTGGTGAGTTCCGTGTTCAAACAGTAAAAATTTCCAAGTGCCAAGACCAGACAGGCCACCAGGGGGCGCTGCATCTTTACAGGCAGACGCTCCAGCAGCTTTGGGCCTAGTTTTACTGAGATCTATTGTGGCAGTGACTAGGGAACCTGTCATCATTTTTCTTGGTCTCTGGGTGGCTCAAGAAAGGTCAGCTGGGACTGAACAAACAGCAGGTTGGTGTGGCTAGGTCGCGGGGGTAAGGCGCATGGGGCGGTGGAGACTCTGGAAGGGTGGAACAGATATAAAGATCTCTTGCAGTCCAGCCCTCCCAGCATGGGGCTGATTTCTAGGGACCTCTGGGAAGATCCAGCACCCAGGCCAGGGCAGCTCCTGAGCTGGCAGAACTCTATCCAGCCAAAAATTCTTGGGATTTCCAATGAGGTGGGGCTGAGCGGCTGTGGGCACCTTAAGGAGGAAAGGCCTACGTGGGCCATCTTTGCTTCATGCTGCTTGGCCCTCTTCTGGGTAAAGCTGAAAAGAGTAGAGTTAGCATCTGCCAAGCCACAAGTGTCCCTTACTTACCCAGCTGCCCTAGCACAGACTCCGGCCCAGCCTTCATCTTCTCTTTCTTCTCAGGGCTGCTGCCCTTGGGACCCTCTCGGCCTTTCCTTTTTGAGTCATTCTTCTTGCCCTTTGACTTCTTCCCAGAAGGCTCTGTGTCAGAGAAAGACAGTTAAACCTGAGTGGCTGCCCATGGGTCATCCATCAACTGTGTCTACAACCATTGTACCAAGGTCAGAGTCAGTGTGCCAGAAACAGGGGCGGTTGGGGTAGGACACAAGGTAACTGCCCACAGCTTTATGAAGGATAGAGGTAGGAACAAGAAGTCCTGTGGGCTGGACTTCAGTGTGACCTACAAACCTTACAGCCCTCTGAGAGTTCTGGTGGATGGAAAAGGTGACTGGATGTTCTACGGACCGAATGCCAAGATAAGGAGCTGGACATAGGGCAGAAAAACACCATCTGGGTAAGAGGCTTAGACTCTGGGCCTGACACCACAGCTAAGCTTCCTGCCTCAGTATCCATCTCTGTTTCTGCAGTCAAGCAGAAGACAAGAGGTTTGGGTTCTTCTGTATCTGGTTCTCTGCCCTTTGATCTACAAAAGACGAGTCCCCAGCTGCTCAGCAGAGGCAGAGAGGCTTCTGGGAACAATGTCAAAAGAAGGCAGAGATGTGTTCTGAGCTCTTCTCAGTCCCCAGAGCCTCTAATTAGACCTCAGTCTCCTTGCCTGACATTCCAAGGCCCCCAGACCTTCCATGCCTCACCTCAGTTACCCTACAGCCTCCTCTAAGCACCCTCCTTCCCCGACGTGAATCCACTTCAGAGACTGAAGATGCAATACTCGTAATAATGGTTCCTACCGGGGACAAGAAGCTTGCAGGGTCCTCAGACTCGAGGTTGGGGTATAGGCCCTCTGGTGTACAGGATCCTGTGACAGAAGGTGCTACTCCTGCCTTGCTACCCTCAGCTTCCTTGACTTGTGTGGCCTCTAAGTACAGTAAAGTTCCCCTCATTACTGCTATCCCTTGTACCTCCACTGACTGTACATCCTGGGACTCCATTTTACTTTCTTCTGTATGTGGGCAGGAAAGCTCTGGAGGCTTCGTGACTATTAGTTCCACAGGGCTATGACCTACTCTGACCTCTGCAATTGGCAAAGTAATTTTCTTTTCTCTTTTTTTCCCCTTTGATTATGCTGGGTTCGACTCCCAGCACCTGCACGGTGACACTTGACCATCTGTAACTCCAGTTCCAGGGGATCTGACACCCTCTTCTGACCTTCATAGGTAGGCACCAGGGACACAGGTAGCACATATACAGATAGGCAGAGAACACACACATAAAACAAATATGCATAAGAAAATGGTTCTCATATAGTCCAGTATGGCTTTGAACTTTCTATGTAGCTGTGCGTAACCTGGAACTCCTGATCCTTTTGCCTCTACCTCCAAGTGTTAGGATTAGGTTTGGACTTGGACATCTGGTTTTAAGCAGTGCTGGGGATCAAACCCAGGGAGGCTTCACACATGCTATGCAATCACCATATTCAGTAAGCTACAACATTCCTAGTCCCTCGGAAGCCAGAAGAGGGCGCTGGATGCCCTGGAACTGGAGGTACAGACAGTTGTGAGCTATCTATGTGGGTGCGAGCAATAGAAGCCATAGCCACTGGAAGAGAGCCTAGTATTCTTAATCCCCGAGCCTCCAGACCCCCTTCTCTACAGGTATGTACCACTACACTTGGCTTTGATGAATGCTGGTAACCCCAAAGGGTAAATGGAGCAACTCAGCTAACAGGCAGAAAAGGGGGCACCCCTTCCCTTTAATGGTACTTAGCAGCTTTCCCTTCCTCAAGTCAAGTCTCAGAATGACCCACAAGCTGAGTTGGTAGTGGCAGGCACATCTCCAAAGCTCTCTCTACCTAGCTGTTTCTGCAGTGTATGTTCAATATTTGAGTGTAAATAATGTTCCTGTGGCATGTATAGGTACATGGTAAGCTATCTTCCTTGACATGTCCATAACTAACCAATTCAGTCAATGTCAACACCTTTGCTCCTGGTTTCTTGATCTGCTAAGTGCATGTTATATACCTAGAGAATAAAAGACACAGCTGATCAGAGCCTGAATGTCGTCACATGACACCTCAGAGAGGGAGATGCAGCCGCATCTCCTCACAGCTGCCTTCCTGAGGACTGAATACCAAAGTTCAGGGGAGCTGGCCTGTCTTGAGCCCAGCAAAGTCAGGAAGATTGTGGTTCTGCACCTGTTCTCGTGCAAGCTAAGCCACTGTTGATGGAACTAGGCTATCCTCAGGCACCAGTGATGCCCCTGAGGGTAGTAGCTTGAAAGTCACAGTCCAAACTCTGGTTCCTTGCCTATCAGCACAATCAGGGCCTTGATAGGTTCCCATATGGACCTGTAATGTTGGTGAGAAGGGACAGGACTGAAGGGTTCTGGCCCCAAGCCCTTCTATGCCCCGTAGACACACCTTCCCAGCAGGGGGCGCCGTGCCTACCTCTGCAAAGATCTTGCTCAATAAGTTTCATCTGCAGATGGAATATCTGCTCCTGAAGCTTACAGATGGTATGCTTCGTTCTCTCCCGCCTTGTCACCATGTAGCACAGGTTCCTCACCTGAGGAGACACAGGAGAGATTTCTCACCTCACCTACTGCCGGCCATCTCAGGGGGCCTCATCGCTGGAAAAAAAGCAGTGTTTTGAACACAGGCCACCACTGCTGCTTCCCCTCTGCCCAAGACATTTGAGAATTCATTCCCAAACCCTGAGTGTGCAGGGAGTATCTGGTCTCAACCTGGCAACCCCGTCTAACACCCACCTTTCCCAGCAAAACAATTCTGCAGCTACAACCATCACGGTAAAACCTGGCGCTTGCCCCAAGACACCAACATCACAGTACTTTCCAATGAGCACAATCTGAAGAATAGCTTTCCCAAGTCTACCTGCTACACCAGGACCTGAGCCAGGGCCCTGCCACCGGGGCCAATGCTCCCATACCCACAGTGACATGACGCCTTGCTTTATAAAGGACAGCGGCCCCTGACTCCCTCAGGCCAGCTGGGAAGAGTCCCTGTGGTAGGCTTTGAAGTCATCTGGCTTAGCCTAGAGGACGGGCACACATTCTTTAGGTTGGCTGGCAAGATATGAAGTGGACCTGTCACTGCCTGTTCAGGGTGCCACCATGCCCCAACCACTGTTCTCTTCCACACTTCTCTTCCACACTTCAGGCTTCAGCCCTGGAGACACTCCCTTGGGCTGGTCTGGTATCACCTTTGGGCACATGTGTAGTTTTCCAGAAACAGAGACAGTTACTGACCATGTCCGCTCAGCTTGAATCCTATTCCCACTAAGGTCTCCCTTTACCTAGTCCTCAGGTGGTCTTCAGGTCTTACTTAGGTCCTTCTGTCTTCAAGTTGCCCGGGGCTACCTAGAATTAAGAACCCCTCCTTCTCGGCATGACCCCCATTCCTCCTAGCTGAAGGTAGTATGAGCAGATCTTTATCAGGTGCGATCTTCCTTTCCTAGGAGACCCAGTGCTGTCGACATCATCAACAGGAGGGATTTAACATGGGCGCTGCCGTGACATTCCGTGTGTGTGTGTGTGTGTGTGTGTGTGTGAGAGAGTGTGTGTGTGTGAGTGTGTGGACTCTGCCGTGACATTCCGTGTGTGTGTGAGTGTGTGGACTCTACCGTGACATTCCGTGTGTGTGTGTGTGTGTGTATGTGTGTGTGTGTGTGTGAGTGTGTGTGTGTGAGTGTGTGGACTCTGCCGTGACATTCCGTGTGTGTGTGTGTGTGTGTGTGTGAGTGAGTGTGTGGACTCTGCCGTGACATTCCGTGTGTGTGTGTGTGTGTGTGTGTGTACTCCTCACCTGCACTGTCAACACCAGGCCACCATTGTCCACCCATTACTGACCCCAGCACTGCCAATTCCCAAGTCCAGCCCCCTCAAGGGATAGCCCTGGATTTTAACCACTGGTAGCAGCCGGTGAACCTCTTACCATGACCCATTTTCCAATCAACCTCCTCTCCACACTTCTCCTGCACTTCAGCCTGGCTCCATGCCTTCCTACATTCTTGAATAAATCTGTAGAAAGCAATGGGGCCAGCACCTCTTTCTTCCCATTGCCTGCCACCCAGCAAGGCAGGAAGTAACTCCCAGCACCAGGTGGCCTTGACAGGGACACCTAAGCCCAGCAGGAAGGCTAGCTAGGCCTGTGGTGACAGTGTACTTGGAAACAGAAAGGAGAATCACCCCAGCAGGGGTGGGGTGGGGGGTGAGCAGGCCCTGGGGTGATCTCTGGGCAAAGGGGAGTTGTAGAGGAATTATGGCTGAAAACAGACTCATCCCCACGAGCTGCCTTCTTGGCCCAAGGCCACAACTGACCCACCAATGCGTTTACTCCGGTCTCTCCTCGTGAGAGACACCAGTTCTCTTCCCAGCCTGGTTCCACCCCTCCCCATCCCCCATTCTTTCACAGGGACAGCAAAACCATCCCTCAGCGAAGCTCTTGAAATGCAAATCAGACCACTTCCTGGCGGACTTACACCTTCCAGGGCCTCAATCTGGGTGGAATTCCTCAAGATTTCCTGCTGGGAACCTCAGAATGGGACCTAAGGTCTCAGAAGATAAAATTAGCTAAAATGAAGTCATCCTGGGTTGGGGTGGGCCCTTTCTCCACTATGACTGAATGAAGACAAAGGCCCAGAGACTGGAGTGCTGAATGATGTGGTGGCCAGAGTGACTGTGTCATCAGCCAAGTGCCGTTAAGGATTTGGCAAGGGACCCCAATACAGGGACTGACAGGGAGGCAAATGGCAAGGTCAGAAAAGGGCAGGATCTGCTTCCCGCTGTTCCTCTCCATCCTTCGGAGGGCAGCAAGGGCGAGGCTACCACATGCTCATCTCTGGGCATCTCAGACGGCTGAGCACTCCGGCCTTCCTCTTGGCTCTCACACAAAGTCCATTCAGTCGCTGAAATAACTCTTACAGCAAGAACCACAACCATGTCCTGCAGGGCCTAACAGTCAGCATGGTTGCTAGGGGACATGAGCTGGCATTTGCAGGCTGATGTCCACTACTGCAATTTTTCTGTCAGCCGTGAATAACTCTGGACACTGCGGTGGCCGTGCCCATCATGCTGCCTGCCAAGGTCCAGGCCTGCGGCTGAAATTTGTAGGAAAGCATATCTTCTGGGTTGGCCGTAAAATCGATTTCCTGCTGGTGGCAATCCTGCTCCTGAACCATTAGGGAAGAGGCCCATGCACCAGGCCTTGCAGCTCTGGAGTCCACTCTTGGAATATAAGGCTTCACAGCTCTACTCGGAGTTGAACTGCTTATGGGGCCAACAGTAAGAACAATCACCCTGCAGTAAGGAAGGGAAAGGGGCTCATATCCTTATCATTCCAGTACTTGGGAGGGTGAGGCCAGCCTGGGCTACAGGGTGAGAAGGAGCCTCAAACAACACAACAAACAGTGGAGGCCACCGTCCTTGTGTGACCCCAAGGAGTGGAGGCCACTGTCCATGTACCCTAACCCTGACCCCAAGGTCAGTTGAACTGGATTAACTTCCAGTTCATGGAAAAGGAAACAGAAAGTCACCACTTGGGGGGGAGGGGAGAGCCAGAATCAGGCCAGGGCCAGACCACCTAAGGCCTCTAACTCTAGCTGTGCCCTGCCCCTCAACTACAGGAGCAGGACCAAGCTGGCCTGGTGCCCAGTCAAAGGTGGAGTAGGCTCAACTATTGGCTCTGGGCCATGGTTAGAGACTGAGCCTGCTGGTCAAGCCACTGCCACTATGGGGCCTTGCAGAGAAGCCCACCCCACGCTATAGAGCACTTGGTGCTTTTCATTGGTCTATGTCTCCAACAGGTAGCCCTCCAAGGGACTGAGGCTGGACACCTGGGGCTGGGTCTCATTGCTCTCTTTATTAGCTTTCTTCTTCAGTCTTCCAGAGTCCCCCTCCCCCCAACACACACATCTATCTCCCTCAGCCCCACATATACCACCAGAGAGAAAGCCACAGTTCTGTTCTGTCTACTAGAGCAAAGATAGAAAGAAGTGTGTGGGGCTCAGTCACCCAGGCCAGGCCTGGAATGCCTCTGTGAGGCAATGCCCGGTGTGTGTCATCTATCTGATCTCTGTTCTCTGCCTGGCAGCCCATGGGAGTCACATCTACCACCAACCCTGCCTACCCAATTCTGGCCAGCACAAACATGCCTGGTAACTAGACAACCCTTGCCCCCAACCCCCCAGTTTCCTGTCTAAAGCTCCCAAGTGACTTCATAGAGTTCCAAGTAGGCTCTCCCACCTCTTTCTAGATGCTCAGATGGGTGCCACCTCTCCTTGGAGGGGTCTGTGGCAGCCCCCTGAGCCTTTGGAGCCTACCCAGGCAGCTTGCTGGCACAGCAGCCCTTGCCAGCCTCAGACTGTGGCCCCTGTCCTAGCCAACATTAGTATTGGGAGGATGGAGAAACAATAAGAGAACGCATTTTCTCAGGAAAACCTACAAAACTATAAACAGCCAGTGTTGCTTTTCTCGAGCCCCACTCCCCACCCAAGTTCAGTCAGAGGAGGCAAGTTTCTCTAAGGCTTCCTGTCAATCATTTCACTATCCTGAGCCCAATCAGGATGGACCAGCTTCTTCTTGGGGCAGCAAAGGTCTTCCTCCTCCGTTAGTCTCTAGGAAGTAAAGTTACATGGGGGCCGCACATCAGGGCTGGCTTGCACAGAGCATGAGGTAATATCTGATGAAGTCCTCTGGGAAGCAACAAGAGGAACAGCAATTTGTACTAAAGACCTGGGGGTGGGGACTTGGGGAGGCTGAACTGCCCAGGAAGTGGTGGCTACAGTGCAAGCCAGCTTTCCCCTCTGCACTGGCTGAACCAGGGACACGAGATTCTTCCCACCCTCCCTTCTGACCTGGTGACCCACTTAGTGGTCAGGCAGTAGGTTTCCTCTCAGGCCACCAGGGTCATTTCTCCCTTGCCCAGGCCCAAGGGCAGATGTGTGGAGATGGGGGGTGGGGTGGAGGGAGAAGCTGAGCGCAGATCCCTCCATAGCACATAGCACATCACCTGCTGGGATGCCCCAACCATTTCACAGACTGGCTCACTGAGGCCCAAATGCAAAAAAACAAACAAACAAAAAAAAACAAAAACAAACAAACAAAAAACCCAACAACAACAAAAAAAACAAACCAGTGAACTCCAAAGTCCCTTTGAAGGTTCCAATCAGGACTGTTTAACACAGGAAGGGCTAACATGTTGCCTGGGTCCATGAAAGACACTGACATGATTCTATGATTCTCTGAACTCTAGAATTCAATGTTCAGAAAGGAGGAAAAGGCAGATGAGCTCCTGGGTTTAGAGACTGGTCTACAGATCTGGATGTGTTCCTGTTCACCTCCCTCAGCCCCACATATACCACCAAAGAGCAAGCCACAGTTCTGTTCTGTCTACTAGAGCAAAGATAGAAGTGTGTGGGACTCAGTCACCCAGGCCAGGCCTGGAATGCCTCTGTGAGGCAATGCCCGGTGTGTGCCATCTACCCGATCCCTGTTCTCTGCCTGGCAGCCCATGGGAGTCACATCCACCACCACCTCTGCCTACCCAGTTCTGGCCAGCACAAACACGCCTAGTAACTAGACAATCTGAGCACGTGCGCGCGCGCGCACACACACACACACACACACACACACACACACACACACACACCTTACTCGTCAACCCCCCCACCCCAAAAAAAGACAAGGTTTCTCTGTGTATCCCTGTTGTTCTGTAACTCTCTCTGTGTAGACCAGGCTGGTCTCTACTGGTGTCCACCTGTCTCTGCCTCCTGAATGCTAGGATGGATTAAGGGTGTGTGTCACCATGCCATGCAACCCCAATCCGTACTCTGAATATGTCAGGTGTCTTAGGTAACACTGGCTCTGATAGTCTCAGTCACCATCCACAAAGGTCAGAAGGGGACTACAGGCAGTTGGGTTCTAGTAGCCTTGATTCCTGTCTCCACAGATCACCTTCACCCAGGCTTTGGAAATGGCTGGAACAAGAGACTCAAAGACCAAGTGTCTCTCCTCCCAATGTGTCTTCTAATCCCGGCAGCCTTTACCCTGCCCGCTTCCCAACTCCCCACCCGCAAGCTGTCCCCGGGCAGGAGTAAGAGGTAAGGCCCCTGACACACCATGGCTACTTACCCTCTCCAGGTCCTGCCGCAGGTGGGTGAAAAGCTTCAGGCGTCGATAGAGGACATCCTGCTCCTGCTGGGCCAGGTTGTCCACCTCGTCAGTCTTGGGCGTCAACAGCGGCTGGTTGGCATTAGCTCTCCTCTTCAGCTTCCAGTACTGGTAGATAAAGTCCACCAGTGCCTCAGCCAGGTCTAGCCGTTCAGCCACCTCAGCTGGCTCTACCAGCTCATAGAAGTTTTCTTCTAGCTGCTGCAGCCGCTGCTTGCGTAGGGTCACCTTTTCCAGATCTTCAACAGCCTGGCTGGGCTCCACAGGCTCAGAAGTAGGCTCACTTCGAGGGCCCCCGTCACTGTGCTCCTGGCAGAGTGACTTGAACTTGACCTCATCGTTGTCGGCTAGGATAGTCCGCATTTCCAGGCCTCGGTCAAAGGCGCATGTGACGTGGAATGCCGTGACGCAGGAAGGCATGGAACACTGGAGAGAGGGGAAGGGCAATGGCAGGCATTAAGGAAGCGCTGGGGGCAACATAGGGGGCCGTCTAAGGCACTGAGGAGCTGGGGGGACACTACATAAAATGGCACAGGTTCCAACGTCCCACAGTGTGGACCTTTGGTAGGAGAAACAGGAGCCACAGGGCACCTGGAAAGGTGACAGAGCAAATCCCCAACATACTGAAGGAGCCTTGAATCAGAAGGTAATGATGCACCCCTCGTGGGGACAAGATGTGATGTCCTGTGGGCAAAATGACTCTGGGATTAGAGGACAGAAGGAAATGCCTGAAGAGGGTCGCAGTCTCCTCTACTGTATTGTCATCAAAGCCAGGAGTCAGCCCTGGTGCTACTCTCTGGGAGCAGCTGGACCCCCACCTTCCTCTTATCCAAGCAGATAAAGGCTGGACTGACCATTCCTCATAGCCCTGGATGGGGACTGGACAGCTGGAACCAGCTCATCAACAGTGTACCCAACATCAGGTAGCATTGCCGCACTGTCCAGAGCCCTTCTGGAGGTCTGATAAATGATGTGCAGGCAGAGTTTCAAGGCTGACTGTGTTCTTGGGGCGATGAGAGAGACAAAGGAGAGTTTCTACGCCGACAACAGAGACCAGAAGCACCGGCAACCCCTGCTTTGTGAAAAAAAGCAGGTCTACACTCCCTCCACATCAGAGCTGTGGGGGGTTATAGCTTTGTGTGGCTTGAATGACTCAGGTGATCCTGATGATCACCAAGATAGGAGCCACCAGCACAGGTAGACCAGTAAGCCCCTGCATTGGGTTAGGCAGGCCCATTTGCTGAGCTGGAGAGGAATTCAGATTTTCATTCCTCTCACCTGCCAGGGTTACAGTCTAAAAGGCCAATGAATCATCAAGCTCAGAGATACTTGCTCTCATGGGGAAAGCCAAGTTCCTAGTATTTCATGGGTGGGGGCTGTCTCTATTTCTTGGAAGCCTGGGGACAAATGAATGTAGGTGAAATACCCATATGGACCTTGTCCTAAGCCTCTAGGGCCTGTCAGTGATGTAGCCACAGGGGCTATGTGGTGGTAACTCCTGGTATTTTAGGTACCTCAGTGCATCTGTCTAGTAACAAGGCAGCTTGGGGCAGCAGAAGGAAGCAAGCCACATACCTGGATGCAGGTACCTGTGCACTCCTTGCAGAGGCTGCAGGATAGGGCCCAACGGCTGGCTGGAATATGTGAGATCTTGGTAATGGGCTCCATCTTCTCTGGACAGCCAATGCTGACCTGGGCAGAATACAGAGAGCTGCATCAGTCCCCATCAGGCTCAGGTGGGAGCCTGTCAGTCACAGCCAGATAGTGAGCAGACAGAGTGTGGATTCAACTCACTAGTCCCAAGTCCTCCCTGTCACCACACATGCAGAGCTGAAGGTCTTGAGTCCCCGATGCTTGCTCAATCAAGTACTGGCTCACTTGGAACTTGCCCCAGAGCGTGTACATGTGTAAGAATGTAGCTGGCTAGGAAAAGCATGTGCCTGGACTGTAGACTTTGAGACATGGAGGTGCATGTATGCATGTGTGTATTCCTGTATGCCACGGCACAGGTGTGGAGGAAGAGGACAACTTGCAGGAGCAAGTCCTTCTTTTCCACTGCATGGGTCCTGGGGACTGAACTCAGGTTGTCAGCTTAGCAGCAAGCACCTTTACTTATTGAGCCATCTTGCTGGCCCCCAAGCATGGCGTCCTCAATAGGTCAGTCTCTCTGTCATAACCAGGAGAAAAGGTACCGAGAGGCAGTCCTGGCCTTCAAGATGAAAATCTGACATAAATAACCACTACCCCAGAAATGACAAGGTGGATCCCAGTGGGAACCTCTGGACAGAGAACCAGGAAGGGAAGAGTTGCATGCTGATAGGGTCTCATAGCTACTAGACTCAGACAGCACTGGACAGGCATCTCGATACAGAAGAGCTGACCAAAGCCATAGTGAAGATGGCTACTGTGGACCCAGCCTGCTCTCCATGGCCTGTCCATGTGACCCCAGCCACAGGCCACCTCTGCAGCCACAGGGACAGACCCATTATCCAACTTCCTACTTTTACCTTCTAGATTAGGGGCCATCTGCTCTTTTGTTTGGCTTTGTGACAGGGTTATCATATAGCCCAGGCTAACATCAAATTCAAGCTGATGATGGCCTTGAACTCCTGATCTTCTACTCGAATCTCTCAAGTGCTGAATTTACAGGCATATGTCATCAAGGCTGGTTTCATTCTGATTTTAACCAAACCTTTGTTTTGATGGATTCCATAATCTGAGCCTCCACCCTCTTTGCTTGACTGAGGTCTAGACCTCAAATTGTCCCTCCTGAATTTCCCAGTGTCTCAGAATTGGGGACCAGACCTATGACTAGGTCCATAGACAATGTTCCCAGGTATTCCTAGACCTGTCTGTGACGGTTTATATATGCTTGGCCCAGGGAGTGGCATTTTAAAAGGTATAGCCCTGTTGGAGTAGGTGTGTCACTGTGGGTGTGGATTTTAAGACCCTCATCCTAACTGCCTGGAGTTACCTTGGTCATGGTGTCTGTTAACAGCAGTAAATCCCTAACTAAGACACTGTCTTTCTGAGTCTTTGTGGGACCCAACAGTCTCTTCTTTTCCTATGTTCTGTCACCTAAATTCTCCCAGGCCCAACCTGAGCTCTCCCCGCACCCTCCATGTCTTACTCCCTGAAATCTTCTACACACCTCAGGAATCCACAGGGCACAGCTGACGTGTACCCACTTGGTCCCACTTCTGGTGGGCTTCAAGGCTCCTCCTCGCTTGGGGCAGAGCAGGCACTTAGGCTGGACTCCCAGGGCACAGGTCCGGCACAGCCAGCTGCCCGTAGGCACCTTGAGGATCCCGTAGCATGCCTGGGAACAGAGTGGGTGGTTATAGGTCAGAGGCATTGGCAAATTGGATGTGTCTGCTCAGTGACTTACCAACAACGGTGGCAATCTCTGTCCCCAGGCTACACTAGGTGGCACCGAGATTTCCTGAGGGGTTTAATCCCATCCTCTGGGAGAAGCCGGGGCTTCTCTTGGCTGGAAGACCTGATTAGCCAGAGGTTTCTAACCAGCATAGGCTTTAGGAAAAGCCTCAACTGCATCCTAAATTGTATACAAACTTGGTTCTAAACCTCCCAAATCAAAAGTCCAAACTTTCATCTTTTTATATAGGATCCTCTGTGCAAACAGTGATGGCCCCATCCCACCATCCCAGGGGTGTAGGAGAGACACATGGACCCAAGAGGTGCTAGGTAGCTCAAGTCTCTGCTTCTCAGCTTCTCAGGATCAGCTGTAGTGGACACATGTGCCTCAAAGTTGCGGGCCAAAGTGGGTCCCCAATTCCAAGTCAGGCCTAGAGATACAGAGGACCTGGAGCCTTAGGCCCCAAGATTTAGAACGGGGATCTATGGGCTGGAGAGACGGCTCAGCAGTTAAGAGCATTTGCTGCTCTTGCAGAGAACCCAGATCCAGTTCCTAACGCCCACGTGGTGGCTCACAACCATATTTAACTATAATACCAGGTGATCCAACGTCCTCTTCTCCTGTCTCTGGGAATCAGACACACACAATTATACACATGAGGCAAAACACCCACATATATAAACTAATAAAATAATTTTAAAAAATAAAATATAAGTTAACTGTAGGCTACAGAGATGGCTCAGTAGCTAAAAGTACTTGCTGAGTTCAGAGGACCTGAGTTCAACTCCCAGCACCCGTATCAGCGCACAAACCATCTTTAACTTCGGCTGCAGAGAGACTGGCTGTCTTTGGCCTCCACATGCATCCACTCATACATGCACACAGCCCTCCCACAGCCTTAAAAAAATAATCTTAAAAAAGAAAAGGGACTCTGGCCAGCTCTGCTGCAGTAACAACAGTAAGAAACACTCTAGCACAGACATGCTGTTTGTATCTCTTAAGCTTATGGGGATAGAATATGGGAGGGCATACACTGTAGGCCTGAGAACCACTCTGTGAGTTGGTTCTCTCCTTCCATCTTTATATGGGTCCTGAATTCACGTCACTATACTTTTTTTTAAAAACTCATGCCTTTACCCGCTGAGCCATCTCACAGGCTATTTTTCTACTATTTTTCACTAAGCAAAAAAAATCATAAACATCACTTTCTTCTGGGGGCTGGAAGTAGTGCTGGGGACTGAACCCAAGGTCTCTTCAATACTGGGCAAGCACCCTACCACTTAGTCATCTCTGCTCTGACTTCTCACATTTATTCACATTTAACAAGATGGGGCCTGCAGAGAGGTTAAGAACTTTGCCCTAGGCCTCAAACATTGTAAAAAGCAGAACCACGTATTGAAAGTAGGCAGCTTGGCTCTCCATCACTACCTGATGCTGCCATCCCTTTGTAAGGTCAGGATGTGAGGAGCTGGGGGTGGTTCTCTGAGGGGAGGACCAGAGAGAGACAGAGAAGACAGACTACCCGAAGGACACTTGCTTAGAAATGGCTAGCAGGATTGAGCCAAGCATAGATGTCCCAGGTACTGCAAGGCCTGCGTCTAGCCCTCCTTAGGGCTATTGGTCCATTGTGTCCAAGCTCCTGTATCCTCAGCCGGGCTCAGACAGCATGTGTGCATATGGTATGGGAGAGAGTGTCAGGGTCCACCTACCTGGTGCACACAGACATTGCATTTGTCACAGAAGACCATCTCATTGCCATCCTCGCCTTCAGGGGAGCGGCACACGTCACAGACAACATCCTCGTCGTATTCGATGCCCAGCCCCTCCTGCGTCTCAATGGCCTGTGCCATATTCTGGTGGCACAGTGTCTCTAGCTCCTCTAGAACACGCTCTAATGTCAGCTCATCCAGCTCGGGTTTCTCTGAGGGCAGGATGGCAGGGAACACCGTTAGCAGCTCCGGAGGCTTGGCAGCAATCAGGGCAAATATTATCAGTGGTGTCAAGAAGAAGGCTCCATCCATCCATTTATAGGGGTGACCTGGGCCTCAGCTCCATCTGGGACAACGGACCCACCCGATCCCACAGGTCCCACAGGCCCATCATGGCCACCTCACTGTCTATGGCCTGGCCATGACCACTCACACACATGTGTATGCACATACGATGTAGGGTGTCTCTGGGATGCAGCTGGCTCCATGAGGAATCTACTGCTTGCATCGTGTGGCTATCATCTATGGGCACACTCAGAGAATAGCTAAGCCGGTCTTTCCTAGGACATGTCAACAGGCTTCATCGAGGCGACCCATGCCCACTAAAACTCAGTAACATCGAGCTCTGTGAACCACATGCGACTGTTTACCTCCACCTGAGAGCTGTAGATACATGGGAGGCAGAGACAAGGCATCCACACCTGTCAGTAAATCTGTTGGGATGTGTCACAGCCACCGGTGGCGTAGACACCACCAGGGGCCCGGAAGAAGATCCTCCCTGACAGTTGTAATCGTGTACCCAGCGCAGAAGGGTCACCTACCCATCTCCTTGAGCTCCGAGTTGAGAAGTTCCAACCAGTACGCATCAATCTCATCCAGGTCATAGCGGCTGCCTCCTGGCCAGTCAGGATGGGTACTCTCACCTAGTGTGGGGCTATCCGGGGACATCTGTGTGTGTGGGCCTTTCAGAGGTGGGAGGATTCTGTGAAACGGAGAATGGTAGAGGTAAAGAGAGGGGTCTTAGCTTGTCCTCCTCAGTCTGCCCAGCTGAGGAACAGGTGGCCCGAGATGAGATGGGTGTGACATGCTTGTGCCCCACAGCACCCATCTCCTCCTATCCGTGTCCATTCCCGTTTCTCTCCGTGCAGCCAGTCTGCCTTACAGACACTAGTAACTGTGGATCTACAAGAAGAGTAGGCCCTAAGGGCTATAAAGCAGAGTGAGGTCCATGTGGGAATGACATGTAGCCCTGGCCCACCACAGTCGCATCTGCCTTGCCCAGCCAGGGTTATTCCCAACAGGGATTAGCCCTGCCTAGTCTGCAGGAGGTGTCCCAAGTGCCACCCTGGGCTATGCCCTGTGCTAGCTACTCAGGGACAAATAAGCTAAAGCCAGCTGGATTCCAGACCCTTTGGCGTACCCCTCCAGGCTAGGACCAAAGACTCATTGCATGGCTTCATAATTCTTGGCCCCTCCTCACCAATGGCCTGTAGGTATCATGGTCTTGAGTTGAAGTCTGGCTGCCTTTCCCAGGAGTTTAAGCTCCACAGGGTTCTACTAACTATACAACCCAGGAGAGCGCTTTCTGGATTAAAGGTCTATGGTCACTGTGACATGCTGGCCACACAACTGGACCCCTCCCCATGGATTACACAGGCATTGTGTTTCTTAATGCTTCAGCTTGCTTTCCCAAACTTCCAAGCTCCAACACTGTCTCAGATCCCATGCCAGATCAGCCTTGCCTTGGGGCCACGGACCTGCTGCAGGCACAAAGCTCCACCCTTGAATGTCTGTTCCGAGTCCCCACTCCTCAAACAGGATACTACTAACACAACCTACTGTAGGCATTTGGTCAGAGGATGGCAAGGACTAACAAAGAAAGCTCTTAGCAAAGTGCTAGGTAGGCAGGAGGGGTAGGCTGACTCAATGTGTGTGTGTGTGTGTGTGTGTGTGTTTTAAGATTGCTAGCTGTCAATCACCTTTCTCCTCCTGAAATGGAAAAAAAAGGGAGGGGCATTTTGCCTCAGGTGGGTGGGGTCCTCTATGCTTCTGTGTGCTACTTGTCAGATTCTGAGGCCAGTTCAAAATGCCAGGCCTTCCCATACCCACTGGTTGCCATGGTTATTGTCTGGAGCCTGGCCTCCATCTGGTCAGCCCTGCCAGGCCTGAGAGGCCCCACACTTGCCTGGGAGGCCTCCTGGGGTCGGAGCCAGGGCTTGCCAAGGGCTGTGACTCAGCTCAGGCTGGGCAGGGAGGGAGGGTTCAAGATGGCACAAGGACAGGGCTGAGCTGCAGGGAGGGCCCTGGCTTCAGGAAATGCCCTGGTGTCAGAAAGGGGACAGGAAGGATGCTGGGTACAGGGAGCCAGGGGTGTAAGCAGGGAGAAAAGACTGAAGGCTTGGAAGTCATGAGGACAACAAGACAGGGTTAAAGGTTAAAGGTTAGCACAACCATCCCACAGGAGAAGCCCTCATGAGAGTCTTAGGTGACAATGATGGCAGGACCCTCCTCCCACACCCAGTAAATCATCTTAAATAGAAGCCAACACCAATGCCCTCGGTCCAACCAAATGCTGCCTTTCCCAAGAAACTGTCACTTCAAATGAGTGTCTCTTAAAAGCACAGCCTGTAATTTTGTCACAATCCAGCTTTGTGTGCCCTAAACATACACTTAGTCAAGCGTTTCAGCATCCCTGTCTGAACAGCCACCTACTGCCAAGTACCAGTCACACCTGCTTGCTTCACTGGTGCCTCCTGGCTACTTCAAGAACTATAGGGGAGAGCAGAGGCTATCCCAGAGATGTAGACAGATGTGCGAGGTTGATGGACCAAGTCTAAAGGGACAGTGCAAATCCTCAGGGGCAGGTTTTAGACCCTGAGGTAAGCACAATTGTCCAAAAGCCATGGAGGGGCAGAGGAGTCAAGCTGGGATGGCGTGTAGGGGGAGAGTAGTCAGGGTGTGCTTAATGCTCTTACCCCAGGCCTCACAGGGACAGCCCAGGGTTTGTTCCTGTGGTCTGTCATTTCCTGGCCCAGCGGCCTACGAGGCCCCATAGGAAATTCCCCTGAGTTTCCTGACTTCCTCATCTATCAAGTGGGGACAGTACTATGTACTCTACAGATATGGTCCCTAAATGGAGGTGAGAGGCTTGACTTGGGAGGCACTCAGTATTCCCCAGGGTAGCTGCCACAAAGGCTTCCAGGATGCTGTGCAGTGGGGAGGCACCCAGATCAGTGGGAGACCAGGAGGCCGGGGTAAAACAACCCTCTGAGAGTTGTAGAGTCTGAAAGGACACATTTGCCCATCTCAGCACGTCTGCTCTCAGTACAGGGAGGCTCTGCATGTCTACCTCATGTCAGCTAAGCCCAGCCATGAGGACCCTGCAGATGCACTCAGTAGCGTGATTGCCCAGCACAGCAAAAATCCCTGCACCACACAAACTGGACGTGACGGTCATCCTTGGATACACACCATTCAAAACCAGCCTGTGACATACATTAAAAAACAAAAAACAAAAAACCACCAACAAAAAAACCCCAACCACAAACCAAACCAACAAACAAGATAGCTACAACAAAACCACTGAATGGGATGGAAGATGCTAGGACCTCAAGAGGCCAGGACAGCATGGTCCTTTTCCATGTCACCAGATAAAGAACCCTACACACAGACTTAATGAAGTCAAGCTACCAGGGCAGAGGTAATTGCAATAAATTGTCATGCCACATATAGTGACAACTTGGCCTGAGAATTCTCACTTAACCAGTAGTCACTGGTATGAATATCATCCCATTTCACTGAGGCGCAGACCTCCTCGGAGAGGTCAGGTCATGGTTCTCCTGACTGACAAGTTCAGGGCACAAAACCCACTAGGACCTTGACCTATGTTACAGGCCCCAGGAGATCCATCCATCCATCTGTTCATCTATCAATCAACCTAACATCCATCCATCCTGATTGTCGGAGGGCCCCAGACATGACAAGGCCTTCCCACTTCTAATCTGTCCCAATGTACCTGGGTTGGGATGAGCCTCGTTAACCTGCAATCCTGACACGAAGCAGGCTCTTCATATATGTGGCTGCTAGAAAGCAATGGTGCCAGTGTCAAAGGAGGGGATGGCAGTGACCTTTGCCTCAATTGTCATCTACTTGGTCTCAGGCCAAAGCCATGAGGCTGCCAACACTAGGAAGGGGCATTAACACTAACTGATCAATTCAGGTGAGCTGGTGGGACACGGCCACTGGTCCTTTCAGGTTGCAGAATCAAATACTTAACTATATACCGTAGTTTGAGGCAAGACCGTCTGTGGTTACATTCTGACAAGAGTCCCTGCCCACAAGACCAGCAGGCTATGAAGCCCTTGGGGATTCTATTCTGACTCGGCCCTAGCAGGACAGACACCACAGAGGCTGACACTGGCAAGTGCTTCTTAAGTTTCTATTGGGTGATGGGCACCAGACTCTGCCCTTCAAAAATATCTTTAAAGAACAACATGGCTTATTTTCATGGTAACTGATGGTAAAAAACCTGGAGATTTCCTTCATCCAACGTGTACAACGGTAACCTTCTAACCTTAGCCATTTCCGTCACATATGCTACATGTAGGTCCATCCCAAATCTTCTAGGGGTCATTTACTAGACTTTCTCCAACACAAGGAAAACAGTTGTCACCCTTAGTTCAGAAACAAGAAAGATTATACTTCTGGTTCAACGTCCTGCTGAAGGTAAGAGGCAATTTGGGCCCATGAGATCTGGCTTCAGAGCAGAGTGCAAGCCCAAAGCCTCAAAGGTAATCCTATCAGTGTTTCTGGACCAATGTTTGTTGTTGTTTGGCGAGAAAATTAACCACAAAATAGAGACAGGCTAGGAAAGAATCTTAGGACTGGTAGGTCCCTCATCAAACTACCTCAGATTCATCCCCTGCCCCGATGGTCCTAGCCTGGCCACCTGGCTCACCTCACCACGGGCTCTGGAATGGCTTCCGCTCCAGCAGGTACCTGTACACCTTTCTCCCATTCTTGTCGCCATGGGTCTGCCAGGATGTAGTAGTCATCCGGGCTGAGCTGGTATGAATCTGGGATCTTCATGGCTGTGATCAGGTCTGTCCGGAAAACCTGACAGACATGAGGGAAAAGAGGCATCAGGATGTCTCAGAGATGCTGGCTCCACAGGCCAGGGGAGCAGGCAAATAAGGCAGCACACAGTAGGGCCAATGGGATGGCTAGACAAGTAATGGCTCCGCCACCAAGCCTGATGACTGAGTTCAGTATCTGGGACCCACAAGGTAAAAGGAAAGATTCCGGCAAGTTGTCTTCTACATCACAGAATAGAGACAGGCTAAGAAAGAAAGCCAGGATTGTTAGGCCCCTCACCAAAAAAGAAGCTTCCTTATCTTTCCCAGCCCCATAGTCCCAATCTGGCCTCCTGGCTCCCATAGCCATTCAGACAGACACACAAACAGAATCTCTAAGAGTAGAAAGGTCACCCTCGAACACAGTACTGCTGCTTTCTGAGTGTTCCGGGACTCTCCCCAGGAAGTTTAAAATTGTGCTCCAGATCTGCACCCAGAGGCACAACCCTATGTATAAAATACAAGGCACTCTAGTTCCAAGAAGGAAGACCTGGATCTTATATAAAGAGTGAAGCAAGAGGTGAGGCTTGGGGCAACCCAGTGAGATGCTTCCATGAACTGGACTTCTAAGCTCTCTCACAGAGACACTACGCATCCCACTTTAGAGCAAGCCTTGGTTGGTACGTGATGGGAGAGGAAGTGATGGGAGAGGAAGACCTCTGTCTTCCTTTGTCCTTAAGTCTTCCCCAAATTCCCATGAGGCCATGTTTAAGGTTTCTTCTGCCACCAACCTGTTCCCTCACTAGTAAAAACATTCTTCCCATTGTTCCTCCCAATCTGTACCTGAGAATAACCTCTCAATCCCTTCCCAGCTGGTAGTGGCAAAGCCTCCTTGCTCTGTACCCCACACCCTAAGTGTTACTGTAGAACACAGTGGTACCACTAGATACCATGAGACTTAAGTCCCAACTTTCCCAGTAGTCATCACTGAAAAAATCACAAGTTAAGGGTGAACTCACATTAACAAGGAGGGAGAAATCACTTCACGTGAGCACCCTCCAGGCCAAAGCCCCGCCTCCACGCCTAGCCCGTGTGCCAAGTCAACACCCATTGCTGAAGTGTAAGTCGGGGGCTTGGTCAGTTCATTCAACCCTCTGGACACTTTTGACCAACCCTTGACAAACCCATTCAGCTGTAAGCCACTGCCTGCTGGGACCAGCTCACTGGCTGTGTGCACCTCGTGGAAAGGAGGGCCATAACCGTAGGAAAACATCGGAAAGGGTCCATCACTGGACCCAAAAGCAGCATCTAACAGAATCTAATTAATATGTGCATCTAGCTGCAGAGGGCTATGACTTGAAAAAAAGGTCAAGTTTCTTGAAGACTCTATTTGCCAATATAATTTAATTGTTAAGACTAACACCCTAACATTTAATTAGGGTGCCAGTGTGAAAAAAATTAAAACCAGATTAGATTAAATGCTAATTAAACAGAAGATGGAATGGGGCTAGGATTTCACAGCCCTGATAATTTGCATATCTTATTAGCAAGCAGCAAGACAGCTAAAGAGAAGACTGCAAACTGAGGCAGCCTGTACTTCCAAGAGGCCTCCGGCACCGCATCAGCTTAAGTGAGAGGCTTTCCCCACTGGAGCTTCTGGAGAGGGCGTGGCTCTGCACTGCAGAGACTTGGTTATTTCTCTCCAGACTTCAACACAGGCTTTAGTACAACCAGAGTCTGAGCTGATGTAGAACTCCCTTTAACTTCTCAATGGGACATCCCAGACCCTGTAGCTCTGATGCCACTGGGACCCACCAGACTGGGACACCACATCTAGAAATCAACGCTGAGGAGGCAATATGGTTAGAAATGAATACCTTGGTGGGACCTGGCCAAGGTTCCAGTGCTCTGGAGGCAGAGGCTCAAGACTGCCTGGTCTACAGAGTGAGTTCCAAGCCAGCCAGAACTACGCAGGGAGATAGACTACTTCAACAACAACCAAAGTGCTAGGGACGTAGCTAAGTTGCTTGCCTGACCTGAACAAAGCTCTGGGCTTTGTCTATAGAGACATAAAAGGGGATGTGGTGGGACATGCTTGTCATCTCAGCATTCAGAGATGGAGGCAGGAGAAAGTGGTTCTAGGCCATCCTCCCCTACAAGGTTCAAGGCCAGCATGAATAGCAGGAGACCATGTCTAGGAAAAATAAAACCACCCTGTGGTTTTCTCACACTGGAACGTAGCTTAACTGTCATCTCCTCAGTGACCTCAACCATCAGCTCTGAGACTGTAGGGTACCCTCTTCTAATCACTCACACACACAGAAGTCACTGTGTGATGTTCCCGGTCCTCTCTCCTATCAGACATTGCTTTGCTGTTAACTGTGCTCTTGGTGCCTGGCACTGAAGACAAGGACCTTGCACGTGCGTGAACACTTACAAACAGAGTGAGATGCAAATTAGAGAGGCCCCAGAGGTGGAGACCCTCAACCTCATGGACCTGCATGAGCCGTCTGAGCACTAAGCAGCCCCCATTCCTCAGGGCCTGATGTCTCTTGACCAGTGAAAAGCTTGTGCTGCAGTTGAAGTACCAGGTCTTACTGGCAGAGAGGCATTCCTGACTCAGACTCCAGAATCCTCAGAACAGGAAAGGATCCTGGGGCTCAACCCGGGGTCCTTTAGCAGTGTGGGCCAGGTTATAACACAGTTCTAAGTTTTGTCCCCATTGCTAGGAAACAAGGGATAGGACACTAGTGCCTCTTTTAGGCAGGACTCAGAAAACACAAAGATAGCACTTGCCTGTTTCAGCCACCCCTCAGTAGGCAGAGACAGTCTAAGAGCAGTGCTTAAGTATTTTTCAGCTGGGGATGTAGCTCAAAAGACATTGATCGTATGCACCTAGTATGTCCACAGGTTTGGGTTCAATTCCCAGCACCACTGAAATCGAGCATGGTAAGGACGCACACCTGTAATCTGGGTACTCAAGAGGTGAAGGTAGGGAGATCAGAAGTTCAAGGTCGGGCAAGAATGGTGGCGCAGAAGGTAAAACACTTTCCACACAGGCCTGATGACCTGTCTTCAACCCCTAGAACCAAAGTTGAAGAAGAGACGTGACTTACAGAAGTTATCCTCTGACCTCCATGTGTATTTGGTGACTTGCATGGGTCTGGTATATACAGACACAAAGACAGACAGACAGACACACACACACACACACACACACCAGTTCAAGGTCCTAAGTTACATAGTAAGCGGCCGTGTGAGACCCCACAGATGGCTTCTCCACCACAACTAAATTCTTTCTTCTTTAAGTTGCTTTTGTTTTTAACTGCAACAGGTGGGGGAGAAAATGGAACTCCCCAGGCCCCCTGGCTACAGCTGTCATTACAGTCACCCAAACCCTTTTTAGTCTTTGCACATCTCCCTTGTCACACACGTCATCCTCCCCTGCTCAACCTGGCCCCCAGTGGTTCTGGGACACTTTGCTTACGACCAGCCTGGGTCTTGAGCTTTGTCTGTCCTGCCAAAGCCCCTGTTGCTGGAGTCTCCTAGTTTTCTGGTACATCTTCCCAGCCAGAGGAGCTCAGTGAGGTCTGGCTGGGCCAAAGGTGCTGGTCAACATCTGCGGTGCACATGCTAGGTGCTGACTCCAGATGTTGCCACAGATTAACACCTCGGTTTCAGTTGCAGGCTCCAGCTGCTGGATACTTACTAGTCTTCTTGAACAGGGTAACACCTGACCTCCAAGATGGTGGCCTGTTTCCTCATCTACATATTTTCTGTTTGAGCTACCAGAAGTTAGGCTTGGAGAAAACCTAATGATTTTCCTAAAACTCCTTTGAATAATTTATGAAAACTAAGTATAGAATAAAATGGACACTAGCGAACAGAATTCTTGCTGTGGCAACAAAGTCGAGGGGCTGGAAAACAAGCAGTTTTCTCAGGATATGAATGTTTACCACTTTTCTTTCTTTTGGTTGTCTTTAAATGTCTGCTGCCTAGCAACCAAGTTCTGCTGAGCTGCTGGGTGATATTAACTGTACCTTTCTCTAACTGTATAAAGGATGTCTAAAGGCTACCAACCAACCCCAAGGGCCAGGGGTGCAAAGATCACCCTAGAGGAGACCAAACACCCTGCTCTTCCCACATGTTAGGACATTACCTAGGACCTTGTCACATGGTCCTGACCCACAGGTCCACTTCTCAAGATGATAGGCTACTTGCCTTCTCTACCTGCTGCCCAGAAAAAGCCAAAAACAGGCTCTGAGGGAGTGTCTATGGAGTTGGAGTGACCTCCTAAAACTAATAATGACATTGGGCAATTTTCAAAGTACACTGACACTAGGCCAGGAGGCACGGAGAATTCTATACCACAACGTGTGGGTCTACAGCTTAAAACACTTTACCCTGGAAATTCAGTTCTCTGTTTCCCTTTCTCGGAGGCTGGATGCCTGAGGAAATCTGGTTACCTATGAAAGACTCAGTACAGACACAGTTACACAGGGGACAGGAGTGGAGCACGGTTGATAGATAGAGTGCTCACTTAGCATGTAGGACACCCTGGGATGATCCTCAGTACCACAGAAACTGGATGTGGCCGTGGGTGCCTATATCCACAGCATGAGAGGTAGAGGCACAAGTATCGTAAGTTCAAGACTACCCTCAGCTATACAGTGAGTTTGGGGCCATCCTGGGCTACATGAGACCCTACCTCAATAAACTAAACCAAATCATATGCACTCACGCACGCACACATGCGTTGATGCCAGTCTCCTGTGGTAAGCCACATACGGACAGGTACTGCATATGTCCTGTATATGCCGTCTTTCCTAAATCTATTCTATAACATCATTTTCAATGTAGAGTAACTCCTGAAGAAAAGCTTGTGGAGTGAGTGGGTAAATAAATAGAAAACAAATCAACAAACCACTGTGAGATTTCCCTGAAGTGTGGTTAGTTGTTCATACCAGGCAGAGTTTGTATGCGTGTATACAGATATGTATATATACAATGCGTGTATACAGATATGTATATATACATATCTAC